AAAAAAAAACAGAAAAAGTTAGAAGATGAGTTTAAACTGAGGTCTTATTTTTGAGTCTCTAAGGGCTGTCTGAATGCATAACCATCGTTTATTGTTGTCATCGTAGCTAAAAGTTTGTTAATGCTCTTCTCCTAAATATTATTTTGGTTGTTAATGTCTTTGGTTTTTATTTTACTTTTTCTTTTGAGTCTCAATTAAACCGTGTCTTAAATGTGTATTTGGCGTATTTATTTTTATTTTTTATTTTTTGTTTTCTTTTTTTTTATTTTTTTTTTTTAAGTTTCTTTATAGCATCAAAATTTCAGCTATAAAAGTTGATCGATTAAGTTTATTTTGCATCAAATTTTCCAGTTCTTTTTTTTTTTTTTTAAACTAATAATTTCAGTTGTGCTACTCACAGTTGGTTCTTAATTTTTTTTTTTTTATTTCTGTTGCTGAATGACCTTTTTTTCTTTTGGTTTATTTTCAGTTTTTTATTGTTTCTTTTTTATTAATAGTTTTAGCTTCTATTGTTTGATGCTATTAGAATGTAATTAGTTCAGATCTCGGAGTATCGAAGATCTTTCTCTGTTCAACAGGTTCGTTAAATGGTTTACCCGGCTTGTTATGGAGTGCTGTCAGTTTGCTGTGATTTTCAAATTCTAACCAACAATCGTAAAATTACACTTCTAATAATTTTACTCACAAAATTTACTAACTGCTACGGCAACAAACAACATTGGTCAAATTGCTTTGGAATGGTCAAATTGCTTTGGAATGATGATAATGATGGTGATAATGCTGATGATGACGATGATAATAATAAATTTTGTTTCTCTTTTCTTTTCTTTTTTTTTTTTTTCTTTTTTTTTCTTTTTGGTTTTCGCCTAATTCTTATTCCTTGTATTTCACTAATTCATTTTTTTTAAATATAGTTTATTTGTTAGTTTGCTTGCTCTTTTTTTTGCATGTGTTTGGATTTCCATGTGACGATGTTGCTGGTGTATTTGTCACAGCTTTAACCATTCTCCAGATCACAATCTTCGACCAAACTGCTCTGCAGGTTTCAACCACAACAGAATTCTTTTCGAACATTTTACAGAAGGTTAGTAAGCGAAAAAACCAAAGCTAACAAAAAGGTTGATCAAAATTAATACTTTTCATTTTTTTTTGAATATTCTTTTTTTACAAACCAAAGCTTAAAATGCATACTGCTAGCAAGTTGAAAAAAGGCTTTGAAGACAACTGTAGTGTAAGCTTATACTTTTCCTACCTAATAAACGGCAGCGTGTATAGGAATAATATCTGGTTAGATTGGTTTAACAAACTCTAGTTCTTTTAAACTGGTAATCGCTTTCATCTCAAACTGTTCTAACTGTAATTTATTACAGTGAAATTGTAACAAAA